GTCCTGGTCAGTTCCTGATCTGGTCCTTTCTGGTCCCGGTCTGGTCCTTAATGGTCCTGATCTGGTCCTTCCTGGTCTCCCCTCCCCCTGGTCCGGACTCTGAGCCACGCGCTGGACTTCGATCGTCTCAGTGGAAGCCCAGAGAGGCAGAAAAGGACCTTGCGGGATCCAACACTAAACACACAGCACAAAACCCTCTAACAGTCTAACAGCAAATCAATACGGCACTGTAAAAACTGAGACCAGAGAGAGACCAGCGAGAGAGATCTGAGAGAGAGACCAGAGAGAGATCTGAGAGAGAGACCAGAGAGAGATCTGAGAGAAAGACCAGCGAGAGATCTGAGAGAAAGAGACCAGAGAGAGATCTGAGAGAGAGACCAGAGAGAGATCTGAGAGAGAGACCAGAGAGAGATCTGAGAGAAAGACCAGCGAGAGATCTGAGAGAAAGAGACCAGAGAGAGATCTGAGAGAGAGACCAGAGAGAGATCTGAGAGAGAGACCAGAGAGAGATCTGAGAGAGACCAGAGAGAGAGATCTGAGAGAGAGACCAGCGAGAGATCTGAGAGAGACCAGAGAGAGAGATCTGAGAGAGAGACCAGAGAGAGATGTGAGAGAGAGATGTGAGAGAGATCAGACAAGTTCTATTATAGTTTTCACATGCATGTATTTTTGGTCTTAATCTAGTGACTCACAGGGTTCTTTCTTAAAACTAACTATATGGATCCACATGGGAGATTACAGAAGTAAAAAAATTGAAAGTAAAAGGTAAAAATGATAGAGGATATAACTGAAAGAGGATATCGATGAAAAGGAGAAAAATCCACTGATGGCTAACTTGCACTGTGCACTGTGACCTGAGGCCGTGTAAAGGAGGCCTAGTGACTGACAGTTCAGAGAGTAAAAACATTCATAAATGATTAACTAATTCAAGTGTTTTTAGCTCTTATACCTTTACATATTTATTATTATCTTTCACTGTTATTATTTCACCGAGAGCAGGACTCAGTGTCGCTGCTGCAGACGAGAGGCGTTACCACGGCAACAAGCCCATCATCATCATCCTCATCTCATCATCACAGGCCTGACAGGAGCAGCACAAAGAGACCTGGTTTAGACCTGGTTTAGACTTGTTTTAGTCCCGGTTTAGTGCTTTTTTTTTAAGACCTAGTTTTAGACTTGGTTTAGAACTGTTTTAGTCCTGATTTAGTCCTAATTTAGTCCTGGTTTAGACCTGGTTTAGACCTGGTTTAGAGCTAGTTTTGACCTGGTTTTGACCTGGTTTAGTGGTCTAGTCCTGTCCTACAACGACAAATGATGACACACAGAAAATGTGAAACAGGCCTGATAAACGCAGATTTAAAATCAGAAACATTCGTCTCTCAAGTCCAGGATAAAGCCCTCTGTGTGGTGTATATAAAGTGTGTACATAGCGTGTATCTAGTCAAGTGTGTATAAAGTGTGCATATACCTGGTGTATATAGCGTATAGCGCGTGTTTATAAAGTGTGTATATCGCTGGTCCTGTTGGTGCAGATTAGCGGCTCGTTAGTTGCGCCCGGAGCGTGTTTAATTGCCAGATTGTGCCGCTGTTTGTTTGTGTGCGCAGCCTCTGTCTCCTCTCTCTCCACCGCGTCCCCACCGCGTCCCACCGCGTCCCACTGCGCGGCAAAAATAACAAAATACCAGGAAAAACACAGCAAAACACCCGAAAACACAGGAAAATAAAGCAGAGACGGGAAAGTAGAAGGGACTGGCGCAAGGCGGCAGTGACACCTACAGGCGAGAGTAGGAACTGCAGCTACACATATACATTCATACACATATAGACACAGACACAAACACACACAGAAACAGACAAACAATAGCATTAGATCAGAATTTTCCAGACAGAGAAGTGACAAAGAGAGGACCATCCTCACTCAACCAATCAGTTCTCAGCCCAAAGCATCAAATTGTGACTCACAGGGCTCTTTCTTAAACAAGTCAAGTTTTCTATTGAGGTGAAGCTTAAAGAGAGAGTTTTCCTTTGTACAGAAGTCCCATGCTGCTACATAAGATCAAAATAAATTGTTAGAGTGGTAAAATCTGGTTGAATTGAACCTAATATAAAAATCTGAAATGCCCTTGTTTGTAACTCTGATTCAACCCATGTCTCTGGTTCTGGCTCGAAAACAGTTGCTTATCTCTAGTTGTGTGTATTTCTGGCTTCTGTCACATCTTTAGATCAACATTTACAGACAGAAAAGTGATAAGAGAGGACTACCCTCACTCAGTCAATCAGCTCTCAGCCCAAAAAGTCAAAAAAGTGACTCACAGGGATCTTTCATGCCTAATGGGTGATCTCTCTCCCTGGTCTCAAATCTCTCTCTCTTTCTCTATAGTCTCTTTTTGGTCTCTCTCAGATGAAAGGGAAATGAGAGCAAAACCTGGATGTGACACAGGCAGAACATGCAAACCTCCATTTGTTTCTAACAGCAGAAACAAAGCAGAGACAGCGTTTTGTGATTTTGAAATCATTTATTTCGAGATGACGCACAAATGTTTCAAGTGTGAGCGGCACAGAGCACTTCAGGCGACAACGAGACAAGTTCAGACATTTAATGTTCGCAAAATATAAAACTGTTCCTGAAGACGTACAAAGTGACGAGAAAAACAGACAAAAACGTTCTCCTGTGTATTTACTCTCAAGAAGACATTCTCATAATCTTCGAGAGAGACACCAGAGAGAGAGAGAGAGACCCGAGAAAGAGAGAGAGACCAGAGAGAGAGAGAGACCAAAGAGAGAGAGAGACCAGAGAGAGCGAGAGACCAGAGAGACCAGAGAGGGAGAGACCAGAGAGGGAACAGTGGTAGAGCAGAGAGAGACCAGAAAAATCTTTAAAAAGTAAACAAAAGGCAGATAATACCTCGTCGCACATTGTTCCAACGTCTTCAGATTATTCTTTTTTTACACGTTTTATATTTGACTTAAAACAAGGACACTTGGGACGCTTCACCAGCAGGAGGAGTCACGAGGACCACTGCTCAAGGCTCTGCATCGAATGGCTTCAGGAAACACAGTATCTTACAGTTTATGATTCAAACAATGTAAATTAGACAATCTTAAAGGGTCCAACAGGGAGGGTCCAGAGAGAGATCAGAGAGAGAGACTAGAGAGCGAGACTAGAGAAAGACGAGAAAGAGCAGAGAGAGAGAGACTAGAGAAGCTTTGACTGCAGACGCTGAACCCTCTTCACCACCCACATCAAAAGTTGGTTCTCTCTGGTCTCTCTTGGTCTCTCCTGGTCTCTGGTCTTAATAGTCTCTCTGTGGTTTCTGTTATCTCTTTCTCTGGTCTCTCAGATCTCTCTCTGTTTTTCTCTGTATTTCTTTTTTAATAAATATTTCTCTCTCCCTCCTGATTTACAGTATATGTAGATGATTTTTGGCACAGTTTTTGATTCTCTCCAGACGTATGAAGCATAAAGACACAGAAGTCAAGCACATCTCAGTGATGATAAAACCAGGAGCCTGGAATAATGTCTTGTAATGTTCAGTTTGGTTTCACACACTTCTGGACAGATTCCACACAGAGCACTGTGTGAAGAGGAGGCGGCGAGTTTATGTTGTGTTCATGTGACATCAGCAAGTTTCAGAGCGTGGTAGTTTCACATTGTGGTGGAAACATCTCTCCTGGTAACTATGGGAACTGCCAACAGCCATAATCTAGTCTGAGTTTAGGGATCATTTCCACTTTGTCTGCACATATTAACCATGGTGTCTCCCTGGTCTCTCCCTGGTCTCTCCCTGGTCTCACTTTGGGCTCCAATTCTCAAGTCTTCTTCTGGTCCCTCTCTGGTCTATCTCTAGTCTCTCCCTGGTCTCTCTTCTTAGTCTCTTTCTGGTCTCTCTCTCTCTCTCTGGTCTAGATATTATGTTTTGTCTCCTGCAGAAACACTGAAATACAAAACACATTGTAAACATCCATCATCAGTAAATTACTCGCCTTAACCCTCTGCTTTAACTCTCAGAGTCACTTTTAGAGATGTGTAGAACTCAGACACCACGTGTTTAAATGTGTAGAGCAAAAGCAGGAAGGAAGCTAATGAGGCTAATGAAGCTAACATGGCTAAAATGAAGCAAACGTCGGAATGTTTTGATTGTTGGATTACAAACCGCGGTCTCAATGTGGATTCAAACCCCAGGTTTCCAATATGCCGTCTGTTGTAAACTCCAAAAAGTAGACGTAGACTCCAGCAATATGAAGCTAAGCTAGCTAGAGCCAATTTCCTTATATGGGCATTGTTCCGATGGGTCGTAGCAGGGGCAGACATTTGGCTAACATGGTTGCTGAGGCAAGCTGTAGAGAGGCTCATAAAGCCCTGCTTTATAAAGTGTTGCACACCTTTTTTTCTTTCGGGCCTTTTTCCTCAAAGAGCTTCTGACCTCTGACCTTTGTTCTCCAAGTTTGGATCCACAATCTTCCTCTTGTGATTTTGTAGAAAAGATGATGTTTTGATTTGAACTCAAATAGAACCAGAAACCAACGTTTCACCTCTGTGAGACCTCTGACCTTTGTGAGTCCTGACCTCTGACCTGCGTGAGTCCTAGCCTCTGACCTGCGTGAGTCCTGACCTCTGACCTGCGTGAGTCCTGACCTCTGACCTTTGTGAGTCCTGACGTCTGACCCGCGTGAGTCCTGACCTCTGACCTGTGTGAGTCCTGACCTCTGTGTGAGGGGCAGACCTGGACTTCTCTTGAATGTATAAAGCTCATTCTTTAAGAGAAAAGGGTAAAGAAGTTATGGGCATTATTCCAGATCGGACAGATCCGTCAGACTGACCCCCTGAGGTTTCTGGAGCCAAGGTGAGAGCCCCTCATCTCTGTTGATGGAAGAAACTAAATAAAAAAGAAGGTTCCAAGAGGAGATTAAAATCAGGAAGCTGGACCTGGGCTCACCTTGGCTCACACCTGGGACTCACTTCTCCAGAGACAACAACTGATCAGAGACTCGTCACACCATCACTGTCCTCTGTCTCTGCAAACACAGTCTGGGTCCACACAGTCTGGGTCCACACAGTCTGGGTCCACACAGTCTGAGTCCACACAGTCTGGGTCCACACAGTCTGGGTCCACACAGTCTGGGTCCACACAGTCTGGGTCTTGTTTCTTGAGTTGAAGGTGAGCTGAAAACATATAAGCCTCAGAGGCGACAGTGATATCCGATTCAATAATGTCCCAGAGGATGCACAGGTTCCAGGTCAGAGATCCCAGATGAAAGGTCCCAGATGAAAGGTCCCAGATGAAAGGTCCCAGATCAAAGGTCCCAGATCAAAGGTCCCAGGTCAAAGGTCCCAGATCAAAGGTCCCAGATCAAAGGTCCCAGATCAAAGGTCCCAGATCAAAGGTCCCAGATCAAAGGTCCCAGGTCAAAGGTCCCAGGTCAAAGGTCCCAGGTCAGTAGTCCCAGGTCAGAGGTCCCTGATCAAAGGTCCCAGTCAGAGGTTTCAGGTCAAAGGTCCCAGGTCAGTAGTCCCAGGTCAGAGGTCCCTGATCAAAGGTCCCAGTCAGAGGTTTCAGGTCAAAGGTCCCAGGTCAGTAGTCCCAGGTCAGAGGTCCCTGATCAAAGGTCCCAGTCAGAGGTTTCAGGTCAGGTCTCTCGCTCAGCGTCTCCAGCTCCTCCTCAACTTCAGTATGGTTCCAGGTCAGGGGTCAGAGGTCGCTGACTCTCTCACTCAGCGTCTCCAGCTCCTCCTCGGCCTCAGCGTAGCGGTCAGGAGCACATGTCGTCTGGGCGTGGTGCAGCCAGCGAAGGTCGTCGCTCTCGTGTGTGATGTAACGTTCACTCATTCTCATCTCTAGCCCCCGCAGATCCACCCACATCTGGTAATCCTGGGGGAGAGACACATCTGGTAATCCGAGGGGAGAGACACATCTGGTAATACGAGTGGAGAGACACATCTGATAATCCTGTGGGAGAGACACATCTTGTAATCCGATGGGAGAGACACATCTGGTTGTCCAGAGGGAGGACAGACATATGGACAGCTACTGAGCAAACTCAACCACAGACGTGTGTAGAAACTTGTCAGCAGTGAGTGGAGAGACTCGTACAAGGACCTGATGTTCATCTTAACCAAAAACTGGACTGGATTCACACAGACATCCTCTTCAAGGAGGCTCTACCTTTTGAGGAGGCTCTACCTGCTGATTAGCCTCTACCTGCTGATAGCCTCTACCTGCTGAGTAGCCTCTACCTGCTGAGTAGCCTCTACCTGCTTAGGAGGCTCTACCTGCTGAGTAGCCTCTACCTGCTGATAGCCTCTACCTGCTGATAGCCTCTACCTGCTGAGTAGCCTCTACCTGCTGATAGCCTCTACCTGCTGAGTAGCCTCTACCTGCTGAGTAGCCTCTACCTGCTGAGTAGCCTCTACCTGCTGAGTAGCCTCTACCTGCTGATTAGCCTCTACCTGCTGATTAGCCTCTACCTGCTGAGTAGCCTCTACCTGCTGAGTAGCCTCTACCTGCTGAGTAGCCTCTACCTGCTGAGTAGCCTCTACCTGCTGATTAGCCTCTACCTGCTGAGTAGCCTCTACCTGCTGATTAGCCTCTACCTGCTTTGGTGGCATCATCACGTACGGTGTGGTCTGCTGCAGCAGCATCACACTGGGACAGAAAGTCCAGCGCTGTCCTTGGCTGCCCCTCGTAGACTGCAGAGGGTGGGGACAGGAGGCTCCAGGACAAACATCTATTTGGACCATGACTGTCGCCCCCTGCAGGACAACTAGAGGGCTAATCCACCCACAGCGAGGGTCAGCACTGCATACTATTTGTCTGTAGTATGCAGTTCTTGTCAGTAGTAAGTAGTATATAGTACTTGTCAGTAGAACACAGTACTTGTCAGTAGTATTCAGTACTTGTCAGTAGAACACAGTACTTGTCAGTGGTATTCAGTAGTATTCAGTACTTGTCAGTAGTATTCAGTACTTGTCAGAAGAACACAGTACTTGTCAGTAGTATTCAGTACTTGTCAGAAGAACACAGTACTTGTCAGTAGTATTCAGTACTTGTCAGAAGAACACAGTACTTGTCAGTAGAACACAGTACTTGTCAGTAGTATAAAGTACTTAGAACAGGAGGAATGAGTGCTACAGGGTCCAAAAAATGTTTTTGAGATCAGGTGCTCTTCAGGAAGAGAAAAGATATTGAAAAACGAAAAATACCCTTTTTCATGGAAAAATAAAGACAGGGTGAAATCCGAGGCACGCAGGGCCTTCTTCAGGGCAATGTCATGGCCCAAACGCGTTGGTCCCTTCTGCATTAAAGGACGTTTATCAGAGTGCCTCGGATTTCACCCTGTCTTTATTTTTCCATGAAAAAGGGTATTTTTCGTTTTTCAGTATAAAGTACTTCGTTAGTAGAACACAGTACTTGTCAGAAGAACACAGTACTTGTCAGAAGAACACAGTACTTGTCAGAAGAACACAGTACTTGTCAGTAGTATAAAGTACTTGTCAGTAGTATAAAGTACTTGTCAGTAGTATTCAGTACTTGTCAGAAGAACACAGTACTTGTCAGTAGAACACAGTACTTGTCAGTAGTATAAAGTACTTGTCAGTAGTATAAAGTACTTGTCAGTAGTATATAGTACTTGTCAGAAGAACACAGTAGTTGTCAGTAGTATTCAGTACTTGTCAGAAGAACACAGTACTTGTCAGTAGTATTCAGTACTTGTCAGAAGAACACAGTACTTGTCAGTAGTGCGCAGTACTTGTCAGTAGTATATAGTACTTGTCAGTAGTATATGGTACTTGTCAGAAGAACACAGTACTTGTCAGTAGTATATAGTACTTGTCAGTAGTATATAGTACTTGTCAGAAGAACACAGTACTTGTCAGTAGTATATAGTACTTGTCAGTAGTATATAGTACTTGTCAGAAGAACACAGTACTTGTCAGTAGTATATAGTACTTGTCAGTATATAGTACTTGTCAGTAGTATATAGTACTTGTCAGTAGTATATAGTACTTGTCAGTAGTATATAGTACTTGTCGGTAGTATATAGTACTTGTCAGAAGAAGACAGTACTTGTCAGTAGTATATAGTACTTGTCAGTAGTATATAGTACTTGTCAGTAGTATATAGTACTTGTCTCTCACCTGGAGCCAGGGATGACTGAGGGTTTTGTCGACGCTGTATCTTTTCCTCATCTTCACCTGCAGCAGGTTTGAGATCAGGTCGATGGCTGCAACACACACATATGGAGGAGCAAAACTGTCAAAAATAATAAATAAATAAATGTCACAATCGGCAAATATGTATAAAGATAACGCGACAAATGATGAGATGAAATACATATATGTATAATATTATTAAACAAATGTTTTGGTTCAAAACTAATCACTAAAGTTGTACTATTTTCTGTCTGCATTTATTTGTTTCCTTGTTCATTCAAAGGTTAAGATTTTAAACAAATATTGTATTAATACTTAACTGCAGTTTTGTGCCAAAATAAATTATAAATCTTCATTATTTTCTTTCTGCATGCATTTTTTTCTTCATATTTTATATACTTTTCCTTTTTGTTGATATTCTGTTTTATTATTTCACAGAGCATCATTTTTTCAACATCTTGCAAACATAGACTGTAGATATTAACGGACGTAGTCACGCCTATCTCCGCCGTTTAAACTATTGTGCTTTAGACTTCTGGGGGGTTTTGCAAAATGGGGCAAGAAATGTAAATGTAAATGTGCACTTTACTGTCCCCTTAGGGAAATTTTGTAGACCAGAGTAGACCAGAGAGAGACCAAACAGAGACTAGGGTCGAGGCCAGGGAGAGGCCAGTTGTAGACCAGACAGAGACCAGAGAGAGACCAGAGAGAGACCAGAGAGAGACCAGAGAGAGACCAGACAGAGACCAGGGAGAGGCCAGTTGTAGACCAGACAGAGACCAGAGAGAGATCATTTGGTTGGATGCATTTCTGTGTGAGACAATAATCTAGTCTCTCGTCCTCATTTCCACTGAATCACACGCTTCAGACTGAACTCTATCTGTGAAGTAGGGACAACTGTGTTTTGTTTATTTCTTTTATGGAGAAATGTCATGTGAAATGAACAACAGTTCATTTAAAGCTGAGGTACATAATTCACAAGATCCTCTGTTATAAAGCTATAGCAGAATTTCAGTAAGGGAGACTGGAAGTACTAAGCTCACATGTGTTCTAAGTCCTCCCTCTGTTGCTAAGGACAACAGCCTCTGTCAATCACACTCAGCTGCAGCACCACACTGTCCTCACCTGGCAGTAATCAGGCACTGCACGCATCAAGCTTCATATCGCGAGGAAGCTCCATCAAAGCAGCAGCTTCATTCACGCCGCAACCCACCTCCTCCCCATCTCTGCCTCATTCCAGCTTTTTCATACTTTTATCTCATAATCTCTTTCCCCTTCTGCAATCGTGCAGTGATCTGCCAGGGTCTATCGGCCAAATCCTAACCACCTTCTGTACAGCAGAAATACATTTAATCTTGAATATATGGCCCTCAGAGTCATATGTGTCATTTATGTAGTGTCAGATTACTGCCAACCGATATACAATTCTAATAATACCCGTGTTTTGTCTGTTCCAGTCACTCCAGATTGAATTAAGCCTGGGTGGTTTGATGGAGTTCTGTATTTTGGGGCCTTGTTTTAGTTTTCAGTATCAACAAGCTGGTCAGGAGGGCCAGTTCCACTCTGGGCTGCCCCCTGGACTCTCTGGACTCTTTGCACACTTCTTTCTTTTGCACAAATCAGAGTGATTCTATCCATGCCAAATGTGACACGTACATTTATCTTGTGTGAGATCAATAAAGTCTATCTTATTTTATCTTTATTTATTTCAAATGTCTCTCCTCCCTCTCCTCTCTCCTCCCCTCCTCTCTCTCATCTTCTCTCCTCCCTTCTCCTTGCCCTTCCCTTCTCTCCTCTCCTCCCTCTCTTCTCCCCTCCTCTCCCTGATTGGTGCTTGCGGCTCGGCCTCCTGCAGGGTGAGGTCAGCAGAGGTTAATGGGCAAAGCTAACATGAGCGTAGCGTTAGCTCAGGGTCAATGCGTCTGTGCTTCAGAGAGGGGCCCCTGAGTTATCCACATGACTGAGCTGCGAGGGGGAAGCGTCAGGGGAGGGGGACACCAGGGGAGACCGGGGCCTCAGCACACAGGCTCACGCATCAAAGAGACAGCTTCATTTGTGCTCACTTTGGTCCTTAAACCTGATCTTGAGAAGTCTTCCATGGACTTCTCCTAGATAGATTAAAGCTTTGGTATGTAACTTTCAAACCACTAAGCATCTAACCGCTGTAATAAAACCCATGTCTCTGAAACAGTTATTTTGGTTTCTATAGCTTCATTTGTCTCTGATCTCTGTCACATCTTTAAATTAGACTTTTCAGACAGAAAACTGAAAAAGAGGACCAAGCTCTTCAGCTCTCAGCCCAAACAGTCATACAGTGACTACTCTTGTAATTGAACATTTAGGATTTTGTTTATTGAATTGAATTTAAATGGAATGTATGTCATATTTTCATTTTCAATTACACCTGCATCACATGTGTGTCCTCAGATTACAATATTGTGTGGAGGGTAAGGATGCTTAATCAGTCTCCACATAGACAACTGCAGCCTGAATACACATGGACTAGAGGCCACCCACGGTACTGCAACATAAATCCACATGGACTAGAGGCCACACACGGTACTGCAACATAAATCCACATGGACTAGAGGCCACACACGGTACTGCAACATAAATCCACATGGACTAGAGACCACCCACGGTACTGCAACATAAATCCACATGGACTAGAGACCACCCGCAGCAGAAGTTATTTAGTGTACCAAACTGGTTCTCACTCAGCTCTGATTGGTCAGAACACTCACATGTTTCTCTTGTCTTGTGGAAGTAGAACCACTGCATTTACTGCACAGACCAGGAGAACCAGAGCTGATGTTTGGGACGTTCATGCTGAGAGTATGAGCCAATGAGCATAGACCATTGATCAGCATGAACATCTTGGAGAGACCTGAGGCAGACGTCTTGAATCGCGTTTCCACTGCAGGAACCTAGGGGTAATTTCCCAGGGCCAGCCCCATTGGTGCGCGTCTCCACTGCAGGACCCTCCCCCACAGGGCCAGGAACTTTTACGGGGCCCAATGGAGTACCTCCTCCATGCAAGGTACTCTGTTAGGCCCTGAACAGCTCTTGGTGGGGCTTTAGGTTAACCCAGCGCTGATTGGCTAAAGCTAGAGCAGGCTCTGACGCCAGCAGAAAGCACCAAAACAACCAGCATTTTAAACTCCAGCAGCATTAGCCTAGCAGACACCACTGGAAACAACAACAGCAAGATGCACGTTAAATGGACGGCTGATGAGGTTCAGGCAATTGCCTCTACAGCACCGAAGAAGTTCAGACGGGGTTTGATGCATTGTGGCAAAATGAAAAGATATATCTGTGCACCCTGAAGCACTGGGGATTCATCACACTCAGAAACAATGCCGTGAAAAGTTACACAAAACTGAATCAGGACTATAAAAAACTCAAACACCACAACAACCGGAGCGGTTCATACCGTAAAAAAAATATTACATGGTGATTAAAACATATGACGTTGCTGAGGGGTCCTACTCTGCAGTGGAGACACGGCCACTGAGAGGCCGAGGGAGAGAACGGTTCCTGTAGCTGTCCCACTCCTCTCCTTTTACCAGGGACTTCTGCGGTGGAAACGTGACTTTGGAGAGACCCGGGACAGACAACTTGAAGAGACCAGGTGCAGATATCTTAGAGACCAGGGGCAGAATATAGTCAATGGGGCGGACATCTTGGAGATACCAGGAGAAGACATCTTGGAGAGACCAGGGGCAGGCATCTTGATGAAACCAGGAGCAGACTTCTTGGAATGACCAGAGGCAGACATCTTGGAGAGACTTCATTACTTACTAACTAATGACAGACTACAGATGGCTCCTGTTACTAATACATGTTGGATTTCAGGTTTTCTTGAAAGAATTCAATTTAAAGGCGCTATACCCGTTTCTGCAAGGTTTGAATGTTTAGCACCGCCCCCCAACTCACTCACAGGCTTCTCATTTCCCCTACGCTCTCATAACACAGAGCCATAGCTCAATTTGCGATCTGATATGTATGCTAACATTAGCATTAGCACAACTTCTTGTAAGCTGTACAACAATCACTGATGAAATGGTACAAAAGCAACGCACTGCTAACACAATATCTAGGTAAAAGAATACTGCTAGTTTCGCATCCGATTTTATTCATCAGAACATTAGAATATATTCAAACATTTAATTATAATTTATTATTCAGCTCCTCACAGCAGCATTGACTTGAATGTAATTCTACCGATCATTTTTTCTTGATAACAGAACTCTCAAATCAATAATGACCGCTGCCCTTTGGCAATGCAATCTCTGTTTGTAATTCAGGTGTGTAAAATACTGCCATTACTTTGCAAGTGCAACGCTCAATAAACAACTACATATCTATCAATCAACACCATTAAATGTTAATCGGACAAAACAGTATACATATAGTATACAAGAATTTCATGTTTTTGTTTTCATGACCAAATTACTATTTTAATGTGACAATAAGCAATCGCGAAAAACCCGGAAGTAACCTTTAACATGTAGTTCC